GGGGGGGGCTGCATACCTACCTAACCTACATGAGTACTCGCTGATGTACTTGACACCAACATGTTGTTTTTCTTAAAACCTGGATTATTTTGTACCTGCATGACAACCCTATCGTCAGGTGTCGTGTGCTCGTATGGCAGTATTGTACACATAAAATGTAGAGGTCGTTCCCACATTATACCCGGAATGGAAACGTTGTTAAAAAAAAAAAGCCATGGGTTTTCCTTCTTCTGGTTCATGTTGCTTCGTACGTAAAGAATCTTTCGCGACATTATTTTGTGAACATGCGGATATCCTTTTTGTGAACATGAGTATATTCTTTTTGTGAACATGCGTATATCCTTTTGGTGAACATGAGTATATGCTTTTTGTGAACATGCGTATATCCTTTTTGTGAACATGAGTATATTCTTTTTGTGAACATGAGTATATCCTTTTTGTGAACATGAGTATATCCTTTTTGTGAACATGAGTATATTCTTTTGTGTACATGAGTATATCCTTTTGGTGAACATGAGTATATCCTTTTTGTGAACATGAGTATATTCTTTTTGTGAACATGAGTATATCCTTTTTGTGAACATGAGTATATTCTTTGTGTGAACATGTCATTGTGTATATCCTTTGTATGAAGCACCAGTGTGCGCCACTATGCAACAGTATGTCCTGATTACATGTACCAGATTTACTGCCGTGTCTTTGCTAAGGTATTATAATCTCGCTTTTATGACACTTGGGAATTGTGCAGAAGTCACAACCCGTATCTACTTTTTAGGATTTTTTTTTCTGATATTTTAAATTCGAACAGTTTTTAAGTAGAGAAAATACCGCTGCATTTTCAAAAACATAACGTGTTACTTTGGAATGTCCAACGGTTTGTGGAAGTGACGCAGACTCCTGCATGAGAGTAAATTGTTCCTTCCTCTAGGGCTATACTGAGGTCCACAATTCGAGGCGCAACTTATCCTCAAATATCTAGTGAACGCGTGAATCAATGTCATTCATATTTTGCATAGCAGTTTGTATCAATTTGTCTTAAATAAATCATATTTTCCCAGAACAATTGGGGATAGATTTAAAAACTTTTCTACATTAATTTATATAAGATATAGTCCTACAAATCTCCTTCACGCGATAAATGGAATTGTTCACTGCACTTCCCGCTTCTCACTCACATTTTGCGGACACATGTGGCCTACGTCACAGCTCACCAATGATACTTTTTAGTGGCAAAACTTGTCACAAGAAATAAATCTTATATAGTGAACACAGTTTTTGCACTAAAGGGTCCCTAGGGCCAAAACATACGTTCAATAAACGTTGCCTCGCAATTAGAAAAAAATGACGGACTTGTTTTTAAAAGTGATATCGTCCCAGCTGTAAACCTTTTAAATCTGTAGGAAACACCCACTGAGATTTTTTTTAAAGTATTTATTAAGGAATGTTCTAGAATTTAGCTAGAGTAACATGTGTTTACAAAAATATAGTCTGTTAGGACAAATTGGTACAAGTCACTGTGTAAAAGCTGGATAGTTTCTGTTGGATAGTTGAGGAGATATTTGACAATAAGTTGCGCCACGAATGTTTGACCCCACTATAGCCCAACTTACGAGTACATGTGAGTTACTTTTCAACTGTCTGTGTTGGGGAGAGCGACTTTTGCGACATCCGTTCAGTTTTTGAATGAATACAAAGTGTAATGGTGAGTCAGGGTAACTGCTGGAGATGATGTTATATCTACGTACAATTATTGTTAGCATTATGTCTGCTGTTGTTCTACTCCGGGTGATAGTTATCTTTGTACATTCCTTGAAAGCATATTATGTTCTATGGCAATTATGATAAAATGTCAAATCTTCAACAAAATATATAATTATTCAAAAGTTTGGGGGTTTTGTTGTTGTTGGTTTTTTGTTGCTGTCGTTGTTGTTGATGGTGGTGGTGTTGTTTGGGTTTTTTTTGTTGGTAGTGGTGGTGGTGGTGGTGGTGGTGATGGTTTTGTTGTTGTAGTTGGTGGTGGGGGGGGGGGGTTGTTGTTGGTTTTTGTTGTGGTTTTTTGTTGTTGTTGTTTCGCTTTTGTATCGTTCACTTTGGACGAGACAGTCACAACGTTATTCTCTCCAAGACTGGGTTCACTATGGACGAGACAGACACAACATTATTCTCTGCAAGACTGGGTTCACTATGGACGAGACAGACAGACACAACATTATTCTCTGCAAGACTGGGTTCACTATGGACGAGACAGACAGACACAACATTATTCTCTGCAAGACTGGGTTCACTATGGACGAGACAGACAGACACAACATTATTCTCTGCTAGACTGGGTTCACTATGGACGAGACAGACAGACACAACATTATTCTCTGCTAGACTGGGTTCATTTTCAGTTTGTCCAAAACCAACAAAGTGCAGGTGCGTAAATTTGGATGACAAGGATGAACTTTCACACTGTTTTGGTGAACCACAATGTCCTGGCCGCGCCAGGCTTCCACCGTGTGACTTAACTTGTGAGTCTACCAGCCTAATGGTGGCGTCGGTGGCCTAGTGGTTAGGCTCTCGGACTCACAACCATAAGGTCGTGGGTTCGAATCCCGCCAGGGGCCCGACGTTGTGTCCTTGGGAAAGGCACTTTACACGAATTTTCCTCACTTCACCCAGGTGGGAATGGGTACCCGGCTATAGACAGTAGACAGCGAAAGATCTTGTCAGTTTGTTAGTGTTTGAGCGCTTAAGGTACACCACGGCAGCCTAAAAAGTCGATTTTGGTATCCAAAACCGATTTTTCGATTTTGGACTATTTTAGTAGAGCAACATCTGCTTTATCGATTGGAAATATTTTCAAGTGTCCAAAACATCTATAAAGTGCTCACATATGCCATGTATTTTAACATTGTGTGGTAATAGAATGGTATGAATTCGTGTTTTTTAAAGTTTTCTAAAAACTATGATTTTCTTAGGGGGGTGGGTCACCTTGGCAGAGATATTTCTAAAAGTACTCGTCGCAGCGGAATCCAACTTTGCATGACTGTTTCTAGATAATATGTTTGCAACGTACTAAAAGATTATTGTGATATTGTAATAAGTCTTCCGTCAGTGTTAAAAAGATTGGCAGTATAACTCTGATTTGTGATCATGTTTTTGTCCAAGTATCGTATATGACACTAAAAGGGCAGTTACAAGAAAAGTATGAGACTTAGGAAAGTAAATCTTTAGTACGTTGCAGGCTGTATATACACAAACTCTGTGTGACAATATCAAGGCTGTATCAATTCAATCTTTTTCAGAATCCCTGCCAACAATTTGCGCGAATTTTGGTCTGTCGAACCCTTTGCATCTAAAAAATTAAAAAAATTGACAGTGAAATCATATAGGGATAGTGTGTTTCTGTTTCTTGACCCATACTGGTTATTGGGAATCCCAGTACACTTAATTTAGAGCCCAAACAAAAATTTTCATTTCAGCTGTACCTAGTTCACCAGCTGCTTGCGCTGTATGCTTCACTGGAAGCTGAGAATGTTTCGGAGTGTTCTATGGTCTGCTGGGGTAATAATATAGTGTAAAGCGCATAGAGCCTGCTGTTGAGCGGGGATATGCGCTATACAAATGCTATTTATTATTATTATTAATGATTAAGTACTGATGTCATGAGAGAGGGGGGGGAGAGAGAGGGGGGGAGGGGGAGAGAGAGAGGGGGGGATGGGGAGAGAGAGGGAGGGGGGAGGGGGGGAGAGAGAGAGGAGGAGGAGGGGGGAAGAGAGAGGGGGCGGAGGGAGAGAGGGGGAGAGGGAAAGAGAGAAAGAGAGATAGAGAGAGAGAGAATAATCATCATACAGAATATTATACATGTACCATACTCTAAGCTATCGAATGAAAGGGGGGTAGGAATAAACGGGGGAGGGGGGGAGGGTGGACAAGTGGTTCAAAATTAATAAACGGGGGGAGGGGGTAAAAAAAAGGGGGGGGTGGCACATTCAATCCCATACTCTTGTACTAGTAGGAACAAATCTGTTTTATTTCTATTTCAGGGAATAAAAGAACAAGAGATCGTGAACTTTTAGAGATTTTAGTAAGTTACTGTGACAACGTTTTCCCATTTAGGAACAAACCAGTTTCATTAAAAAATATAAACCAATGTACAAAAGTTTTTAAAATGCACAGAAAATTGAGGTAGCCAACCCGGTACTAGTACTAATACTAATGGTTATTTGACATTTACCACAAAAAAAAAAGAAGTTTCAATCAGATATCTAGATTCTAGATATAATGTTTCACATTATCGTCGGTCGTGGCAAGCTGGAAAATAATACACGAGGGGGTATGGAATGAGGAGGGGGGGGGGGTGTGCCAAAAAACTAAAAATTAATAAGCGGGGGAGTGGGGCGGGCGGGCGGGCGTTTATTCGATACCTTAGAGTACATGCCCTTAAAACCTCTACACCTAAATACTAAATACCTAGACAATTTGAATGAGAGGCCAACACCTTAACCTCTTGCCACGAGATATTATAAGAGTAGGCTTTGCCCCCCGCCCGTCAAAATTCAAAATATCCTACCAACTGAAACAGTTTAATGTATACAGCGCGCTCATATGACCTTGTTGAGTTGCGAACGCCGTAGAACACTTACCCCCCTACCCCCCCCCCCCCCCCCCCCCCAAAAAAAAATTGTTTTTAATACTTAATATTACATATAAAAATGGGCTAAGGGGGAATCCTAGGAAGTAACGCTCCACAGCTCGTAATTAACTCAGTTGTTCCAAGAATCATGTAGGCCTATAATAACGACGTTTTACAATTACCGGTAGCTCCAATGTTACTGTGGCGCTGGACACAATGTTTAGTTGGCCGTGTACATGTAGGTAGGCCTCACAATACAAAGTTAATTAGAGCTCACGGAAACCTCAGCGTTCATTTTATTTTAGCTCGAGTTTGACCACGGGGGTGATAAAAAATAATGTATTCTTTAAGACCCTTGAGCCAAAGATTCTGTCCTAAGCTTGGGCTGGACAAACAGCTGTTGGATCTTCAAGTCACCGGCGCGCGGAGATGACAACATTGAATGTTTCAATCTTGTGGCCCCTCTCACAACGTCACTGTGAATGCACTTTGACTTTTCCTTTCGTTTGAGTACCACTTTCACTATCTTGAAAGCAGAAAAAAGAAAATTATTATTTCAATTGCTTGCAGAATTAGAAAAGAAATGCCTTCGATTGATCTTTTTTTTTTCATCCCATACAATAACTCTATACATAATAAAACTAATATACGTGATAATACGAGCTGGCAAGCTGTTTTATGAAGTCGGATCACTTTCCTAATACATGTACCGGAGTCAAGAAGTCTATTAATCTACTTTTAACTTAAATTAATATGCATTATAATACATGTATAGACTCTCTGATACACGCGACTACTGTGGACACAAGGTAAAATGACCAAACTGGCAACCTGGGCGTGAATATTTCGCTTGTCTCCCTTGTCACTCATTGATTCTGTCTGCAGCTGAATTGATTCCTTCCACTCCTTGACTTCCGACTTCCGGCACATTCTTCCGTCTTCCATTTTAGCCTAGCAACGGTCGAAACACCACTCATCACAATGGTTCGTTCTTGTCTCTGTTAGATATTATGTTTAGTATTCTAGCATGTATGAATTTTACAAATTTATTGGTAGTTTAAGGAACCCTTTGCATGGTCCTTGCTAAGGCTTGCTCTGTTTCTTTTATGTAAGTCAAGTAGGTCTTGATCTGGCATATTTTATCTTGGCTGTCTGCCATTCTTCATCATTGTGAATGATTCACTACACAATTTTGTTTAGATTCGCAACGACCTAGCAGTCATAATGGTTTACATGCCCAATTTTAACTATTAGTTGTTAGCCCAAACTGCACCCTGACTTCTATTTGTTTTGGGTATTTTATTCCAGCATCCCTGCTCTTTGTTCCAGTGGGGTTGTTGTTTTGGTCGTATCATTTGTCGTATGTTTGATGAACATGACTTGTGACTTGTCGATTGTTCCCTTTCCAATCTGAATCAGAATCACAACTTAGCATTGCTTCCAATCTTCTGTATTTTTATGGAAATCCGTACTTTCTGACAGTTCCGTACTTGCTCCCCCTTCATTATCTACTCCATCAGTATAAAAGTGCGACAACGTAGGGCTACCAAAATTAATTAGCTAAGGATTCATACTCGCCTTTTGCATTCATCATGTATAAGTTCTGGGCCTCTTTGAACATTAGCAGGCCACCACTGGATTTACTCCGGTAGCCTCTAAGTCCTAGGGCGCGCTGGATGATGATAGAGGGTGTTAGAACAAGTAACAGAAAGAAAGTGGCTATTCTCACCCGCCCGGAAGTTCTCGCAAGATCAACTCCTCCCCTCTTCTCTCTCTCTCTGTCTCTTTCTGAATACTGTCTATCAGTGTGGACGATCAAATTGACCAAAAAAAAGTTTTAAAATGATGTTAAAACACAAAAGTAAATTAATTTGGTTGTCTACAAAGATGCTACGGCTATTTAACTTTTCGAATCGAGCCGAACTACGCGGGTCGCCATTTTGTTTTGCCCGGAAATTCTCACGCTACTCCTCTCTCTCTTTCTCTCTCTCTCTCCACTGCCCACAGACAAAATTGTACGCTTTTAGTAGGCTACAGTTGTAATGGAACGTTTGTTCACGGCACAGAATTCTACAATTTTTCTGTTATCACAGTGTAGAATTCTGTGGTTTAGGGTGAATGCAAAATTTGGTGAACGCGCACCGGGTGAGAATAGCCACAAGACTCGCCTGCACTATTCTCACTCCGGGTGAGAATAGAGGTGGCCTAACAGAAAAGGTGGGGGGGGGGTGTACGGAAATAAAATGCCATAGAATCTACATTCACCAAACATGTGAAAGCAAATCAGCATAGCTATCTATCATATACATAATCCATAAATTTCTGAATGTGCAGCTTTTTATTTGAAAGCAATATACCAATTTTTGTTTGAGTATGTATGATATTTATGCTGAGTCCGGTTACATCGTTTTGTTGATGCAAGACCGAAAGAACTAATTCTCTTGTTTTTCCCCAAACCCACGCTTTGACAAAGTGAAACTAGATGTTTTCATTTCCTAAATCCTTTCCGAGTTTTTTAATAGCTGTAAAAAGTAATAATAAATGACGGATTGTATTAAAACGAAACAATACTGAGGCTACCTATCACAGCCGATATATCGGCAATACGTCCACAAAGGGTGTGAACTGGCGCTGATATATCGGCAATACGTCAGGAAAGAGTTAAAGACAGAATCACAATCAGAAAGATACCTCTTTGCAAATTTATCTAGATCTAGAGAAATCATCAGTGCGATGATTCTATGGGAACGTGATAAAGGCCACGATGAAAGAAATTTATGCTAAAACTACTAAAGTCAAGAATATTTTGAAGTACTGTTTCGATGTTGTGACATTGAGGAAAATTAGGGTACGCTGGGTAACTGTATTGTCAAGGTACATGTCTATTCATTATTCCCAGGTTTGCCTTCTGTCAATCATTGGTGCAATGACAATCTAAAAGAATCCTAGTAGCAATGGTAAAGGAAACCTGCTTTTAAACATTGCCAGCAATGGGAAGATAGGTGAAGAAATCAAACAAGTTAAATCTTGGTGAAAAAATAAGTTTATGGGTTGTTGGCAATCTCTTCTAACAACAGGCTCCCAAAAGCCATTTTCAACCCTCTTAATTATTCATCCATAAGCCAAAAATAATAAGTAGCGAATGAGTTATAGCACTAAATGTCAATTTCTTCGGTGGGCTTTGCCTCCTGAACCCCCACTGTTGGACGCACTGCTAGACAACTTACAATTTGTTGTTAGAGGTCTCTGTGGCTTCTTTTGTTGAAACATTTGACAGAAAATTACCTGCTTTTCTTGAAGAGTGCCCTTAAAAGAGCCAAGAGTTGCATGTTGTCAGTTTAAATACCAGGAAAGCATAAATATCTAGTCTATTATATGATGCCTTCAAAGTGAAAGCTCTTAATGATAATTAGCCATACTAGACCTCATTCACGTTGTGCAGCCTTAATGGGAAGTGCTTTTATCCATGAATGACCCACTTGCTTTTAGTGCGACGGTGTTTTTAGCCGAGCTCTGAGGTCTGGCTGGAAATTTAATGAAAATTCTACCTTTTTTTATATACTTGACAAAAGCTTTCTACAGTCGACTACGCTTGTACCAATGTCGTTGGGGGACCAGAAAAAAGATCGCTACATCCGAAATTCGCAACAGCCGTTGGAAGAAAAATTCAAGGGAAATGATCCCAGTACTCAACCTCACTGTAAAGTCAATATTGAGCTTCGACGCTTATCAATATCATGTAATTTTTTGTAAGGTTGTCAATAGTATCATGTGGGAGATTGCTGGCTAAGTGTCTGACTCCTCGTACTGTTGTGTGAATGTACGTAACGTTACTAGACATCATCGGGCTCATCAATGCTAGGCCAAAACTACGAGGGAAACTTCATTAAAACCGTTATATTTTTACTATAAACTATATGGACCGGAGATAAGAATACACATCACTACAGCCATCACGGCAAATGTAGTGAATTTGGTACAACCGTTTCAATTTGATTGAGTTTGTGTTACATCAGTGCCCGTTCCAAGGAAAAAGATAGCTGCGTCTGAAGATCTTTACAACCGCCGTCGCTACAAGTGGAGTGGACTATGTAGTGTTAATAACACATGAATGACCCTCTCAAAAGTTGATGTAAAGAGTAGTTACGGTAAGGCACAGTAACTCCAACCTACCCTTCCAGAAATGGTTGTTCTCAAGAGTAACGTTTTATTTATTGTTGGAAAAGAAAAAGTAGAGTTCAGTTTTTGAGTGGGGTTTGTTTTTGGGGTTTTTGTTCAATAATTTGCTTTCAAATTTTTCCTAATTCTGTTTTTCTCGCCCACAGTCTGAGGTTGAGGAAAGCTTGAAGAGAATCCAGGGCCACAAAGGTGTTATGGGCACCATTGTCGTCAACAGTGAAGGTATGGGAGTCCAAGAATTCAATCATTGGTTGTGGAGCTTTTAAAGAGCATTAGTTCAATATTACTTCTAATTTTGTATTCTGACATTGTCATCTGTCTGCTGATGGGAAAGACTTGCAAGTATATGTAAAGTAATTTCACTTTTTTGAAGTTCCAAAGGACCTTCTTGAAGTCCTGTTTTCATGTAATGATATTGAAATAAATCGCCCTCGGAAAAGAAATGAAAGTGGGGAAAAAAACATGTCTCGTCCATTGTTTATTTGATAAGTTGTTGAAATTATCTCTTTTCAAAAGTCATACAGTCTGTGCTGGCTTTAAGCACACCGGCCTTAAGCACGTTTCGGACTCAAGCACGCTAAACGACTCTTACTGAATTTTTGCGATATAAATTACACGCCTTTAAGCACGGTTACTTCGGCTTCAAGCACACTTCATTTACAAGACAGTCAATATTTTCATGATGACCCATCGAAGTTCGAACACAGTTTACTCCGCAGCAGTGGAGTGTGTCAAGAGAAACACGAAGAACGCAAGTGATGGACACTCACACTCACACGGGCGGAGAGGAAGGCAGAGAGATGCACACAGCCGCACGCGCGGACATAGGATCTAGCCTAGGCCTAGGGCAAAGCTACACACGACCCCCCCCCCCCAAAAAAAATACAAAGAGTCGGGTAGACGAGAAAGGGAGGCTGGCTGCGATTTCACCTTCGACCCTCGCTATCCATTAATCCTGATTGTGTATCACGCGCGAGGTGGGATGAAGGCGGTGGTATGAGTGGCACAGCGGGCAGTGGTACGCACAGGCAGTGTGTTACAGTAGGCCTAGTGTGCTGTATCGTGACTGACCGTCTAAATTAAGTTTTCATTTCCCATTCGACCACAAAACAAAAACAGTGCACACTTTTGCGGGACCGCTATAGGCCTAGTTACAAACAAAGGGAAATAGCACGTGGAATTTTCTACATGAAAATCTCTGGATTATGTCTACTTCACACTTAAGCATGCTTCGGCTTTAAGCACGCTTAAGCTTTCTCCCGATGACCGTGCTTAAAGCCGGCATGGACTGTAATATTGGGGGAGGGGTTTAATGTTCCCTTTGCCAAAACATGATTTCGCTCACCTGCCGGCAATTTTAGCGAGAATCTGTTCTGGGAAAAGTGAGATGGAAAAAGCATTATAAAATCAATCATTGTATAATTTGAATCAGCAGATTCTCCATTTGGTGATCAACTTTCCCCTCATCAGTTATATTTTCTCGCCTCAGGCATTCCCATCAAGACGACACTGGACAACTCGACCACCGTCCAGTACGCCGGCCTCATCCACAACCTGACCGCCAAGGCTCGCAGCACCGTCCGCGACATTGACCCGGCCAATGACCTCAAGTTTTTGAGGATCCGGTCTCGTAAGAATGAGATCATGTGTGCCCCTGGTGAGTTTACGGGACATCCTTCCATTGTCTTCTTAGAAAAGTACTTACCAAATATAGTGTGGTCAGTCTTTCTTTATTTTCTTTTTTTTTTGGGGGGGGGGGGTAAGGAGGTGGGGATGGGAAAGAAACAAATTGTAAATTAGTGCCGTTACCTCTCTTTTGTACTATCAGAAGTGAATTGAAACTGGCTGAATTGTGGTTTTTTGTTTTTTTTCGATGGACTCCACAGTCATTGCTTTCGTATTGGTCGAGATTCTTCGTATTTTTTACCAAGAAGTCAAAATGCAGTACTTCAGTACTTAGTTATTGTTTTATGAGTCAGTTTTTATCATCTCATATCTCTGTTGATTCTAAATGGTGTCTATAAATTTGTGATAAATGTTCTGAACCACAAAGATAATGTAAGGAAGGATTCATTTTCTATTTGGAGTGTCAATTTCTTACACCGAACTACCACAGTAGGCCCTCTTCTAGCTGTCTCAGGAAGAACAGGAGTTGGGCTAGAACAGAATTACAAGGAATTCCACAGCCTGATTTCTGATCAAATGTAGACCAAAAAGTCTTTGTCTAGTGGTAGGGATATCACATGGGTCCCGGTGTCCTGTCATAGCCGGCGGCCACTGTATCGTGAGACAGAAAGTCTGTGGCATGGGATTGGAAATTTTCATCATTTTCTCTTTGAAATGCACAATTGCTCAAGGAATACAGAGTACGTGATTGTTAATGGTCGGAGAATAAGAACACATGTTGTATTTGAAGTGAACATATATATAGGCCTACTATGTGTTTTACAATTTTTTTTTAACTTTCGTTAATCTTACTCAATGCGTTTGTGTGTTGTTTCAGAGAAAGAATTTCTTCTCATTGTGATACAGCAAGATGAACAAAGTTAGATCGGAGTCTGTGAATCTTCAGCCGGTACACTGCACAGCATGCCAGCAAGACCAAACTGCTTCCAACAGCTTTTCTCATTCTTTTTTTCACATCTTCTATCAACCGTTTGAGGGTTCTGGATTATGAGAATTGTTTTTTAATAAATTGCAAACTGCTTCTCTGGATTTGTTAGTGGTCTTTCCCCTCCTAAGTTTTTCTGTTCTTTACAAAACCTTATATTTTTGGGGGTTTGGGAAACTTCTCTCTAAAATTATGTTTAAGTTGGATTGAATACGACTGCTTCTTTTTTTTGTCTCTCGGCCATTGTTTTCTATGACATGTCCTGACTCTGTGAAGTGAAGGAAATCGACTTGTTCAGTTCAGTCGTCAGCGTGTCATTAGATTCTGGTTTGCTGCTTCTCTCCTCCCTCCTTTCATCTACTGTACTCTCAGAAGCTTCTGGTGTGGAATATTTCGAGGTGCGTAAATTCTATTGCTCTTTTTAAAAAACTCATTTTCTTCCCCTACTTATGACAACAAAAGTTAATTACAATCTGAAGGAAATGGGCCCATTGTGTACTCTTTTTTTTCTAAGCTTTACGTTTCGCCCAGATCTGCTTGGTTCACTCATGTACATGTATTTATAGTTCTTGTATCATATATATATTCATCATAGTCATTCTCTGTCACGTTCATCTTTCTTTGTATTGTACATTGTTCTTCCCCATGTAGCTTCATGTGGCTCGGCTATTCCTTGTGACTTGACAACAGGTCCCAAGAAACAAATACACCAAATATTTCATACTTCTATAACTTGTCAAGTGAAGTTTTTTTACAGTATTAATATTTTTATTAGAGCACTTTAAGTTGTCGTGGCAAGTGAACTATTCTGACATTCTGTGAGAAACTCCAGTTTGATTTGTAAAACCTGCAGATAAACATGTCTTTGCTTTATAATTTATAGTCTTTCAATTGACCAGCATTGGAATGCGTGCCTTTTAACTCTCTTTCTCTCGCTCTCTCTCTGTAATATACATATATGTTTTTGGCTCATTTGTGATTTCTATCTCTAAGATATTTCTTTTTTTGAAGTAGATGTGAAGAACATCCTTAATGATTGTCAAAAACAAAGAGTCCAAAGTGAGGGTCAAACGACGTCGGTCCAAAGTGAGGGTCAAACGACGTCCGTCTTATTGTTCTCTTCTCCCCTTGTGATTTATCATCTTGATTTAACATTTGCTGATTTCATCCTCAAATAAAATGTTTCATGCCACGCTTAAGAAAGGAGAGATGCTTGAATGTTTTCCCGTCGTGTCACTTGTTTCAGTTACACAGAGGGGCTGATGAAAGGGGAGATTCTTGAATGTTTTCCCGTCGTGTCACTTGTTTCAGTTACACAGAGGGGCTGATGAAAGGGGAGATTCTTGAATGTTTTCCCGTCGTGTCACTTGTTTCAGTTACACAGAGGGGCTGATGAAAGGGGAGATTCTTGAATGTTTTCCCGTCGTGTCACTTGTTTCAGTTACACAGAGGGGCTGATGAAAGGGGAGATTCTTGAATGTTTTCCCGTCGTGTCACTTGTTTCAGTTACACAGAGGGGCTGATGAAAGGGGAGAGGTTGACTTTGGATTGTGTGCTGTATGGTATCGCGGGAGTTTTTTCTGGGTAATCAGCTGAAACTATTTCTTGCTTCACGTCTTGATCCTTTTGTTTTGGACTAGATCTAGTTTTCCTCTGGTTGTATGGCAAAGCTGCCATTGAGACAGAATATACCTCAGACTACTCTGTTGAAAGGTTTTTGTGCAACACTCTCGCTTCACTGAGTTGTGGTGTCGATTTAAATAATGCAATATTCTTAAATAATGGCAAACACTTGGAAGGTCCTGTGACATGTTCTCTGACACTCTCAGCAATGGCTGGCGCGTTTAAAGGAGGAACATTTTATTTCTGTTTTATTAATTTAGTATGGGGTTTTACAGCGCTCGCAATTGCATAAGGTTATATGGGTGCTATTTTATTTCTGTACTACATTTGAATGGATTTAGGAAAATTTTGAATTCTGAATTCTCACTCATGTAGGGAGAGGAGGAGAAATGATTGCTGTAAAAGTATATGAAGAGCACAGGGGGAAAACGACGGTGGTCACAAACTGGAAATTGTGAGGGTGCCAATTTTAAAAGCTTGTGGATTCATAACTTCATATTCGTTTGACTGGTGGTTTATTGTTAAGTGTTGTTGAATGGGAAATCTAACAACAATAATCAACCAACAGTTTAACATGACGGTCACCTGTATAGTACGGGACCTCTAAGATTTTTGCCCTTGTTCCTACCATAAGATCAGGGGAGTGTCTGAAAGACAGCTGTAAGAAGACACCAAGGAGGTAAAAGGAACACATTTTAGAGGAGAACAATTTTCTGTCACGGTCAGGTTTCGAACCCAGAACCTATTGAAGGAGAGGCGAACACCGTGACCTCTAGACCACCAGAGTCCCCTAGGCTGGGAGGAAACTGGCCTCCTAAATGATCTGATCGGTGTCGATGAAGGCGAAAAAACACTAACAGGTCTAACACGAAGAAAAAAAGGGATGAAAAGTCTGGTAAACTCTAAACATACGAAACCTAAAGCTGATTGGTGTTATTGTTGATCCAGACTTGATGTTGATAAGTATACCTATGGCATATTCCAAGACAATTCAGGACTGGTGATACAGATATATTGTACAGCCAGGAAAGATGGATAGTACTAAAGTACTACGTTGTTACAATGGTTTGGATATGTTGTGAGGAATTACAGAAAGGTAATTATGTGTATATAGGTTAGGGTTAGGTGTATAAGTATATTATATTGTCTGCAACGACAGATTAGAACTAATTTCAGAGTTAAACTCCATCATTGGGAATCATGAAGACAAAACCTGAGAAATTCAAAGACTAGTGTGAGAGGAAATTTTATTTTTTCCATTTTGATACATGTGTAGTCACAGTAGTGCCCTGTTCATAAAGTCATGGAAAGGAAGAAGAACACATTTCATATAATGCCAAAAATATTAAAGCAGACGGCTGATCTCAGCAGCTGACATTATGCAGGAATATATTCCACAGTGAACAAATTGTTGCCGTTCTCAAGCTGTGATTTTACAGTTCCTTTCATTCGAATCTTATCTAAGCAGGTCAGAAAGTTGGCAAACACACAGACGGCTGATGGAGAGAGCCTGAAAGGACAAAGTGTTTCATTTCTTCTTTTCTTTCAAGAGGGAGTTGCATTTCAAAACAGTTGTAAGAGAATGCTTAGTTACGTTTCAAAAGGGGCTATCTGAAAATCCACATCAGGTTAATAAGGAATGAAAATGGAAATAGGGTTTAGAATAAATCGAAAGAAGAAAGGTTGATCGCTCTTCTACATCGAAAAGCATAAAGAGCAAAAGGTAAATAAGCACCAGAAGTACTTGATCTACTAGGGCTAGTCTCTCTCCATGCCTCCATCATTTACATAACAGACAGACAATAATGATCACGATATTGAACACCTTGACAACTTCTATTTCTTCAATGTCGCAATGTTTAAAGTTGAAGGAATGACACGTAACAGTTGACATTTGGAAGAACTCACAAGAACACAGCAACCATTGTAATAAAATGTGACATGTTACTGTTTCCTCTGGCAAGAATAAAACAAGGGTGGGGGCACTGAGATTCTATTTCACTTTCCAAAGGCGAGTTAATAAATTAAATAATTATGACCCTTTGATATTTCTTGAGCACAGAAGCTTGTAGTGAGTAACGGTGACTCAGTAACACAATCCTGTTATGGGAAATTACATACATGTATACAATATCTAACAACATTCAACAAACAAAACTTTCCACTAAAACCTACAACAAGATCTTGTTACAAAATGAGACTAGGCTGAAATGCAGTGACTGTGACAGACTTTGACCCAATGTGAGTTTCCCTGAAGGCCCCGAGTTCACCTCAGAGCATGACAGTCTTTTCCCTGCCACGCACAAAACACGTACTTCAGTTTCTGGTGGTGTATTATACTATGGCTGCTTTTAAGCACAAGGGGGAGATCTCGAAAAATGCTGTTTTGAACAAATTGAAAATAAAGTTTTTGCTCCGGGTTCAGTTTCTTTGAAAGACGAGCAGCGTTTTCTTATAACCAAACCAAATGCACACCAATGAAACCAAACTTCTCCCATAGGCACCCACTTTTGGTGTAGGTCAAGATTTCTGGAAACCCCCGAAATTTGGGTTAGCCCGCTTGTCCTTAAAAACGACCATATTTGATGAACGAGCTCTGGCCGTTCACAGGCTTCGGGCTCAGTGCCCAGAAGCTTACACTGGAGTCCATAGTGTAGGCCTACATTTTACACTGACTTACACCACTCAAGTGTCGGCAATATTGCAAACAAACACTGGAAATTTCTGCTTTTGAAAGCAACGCAAAAGAATAGGTATGGCAACATAGAAACATATATAAATGAATCCTTTAAAAATGTTTGAACACATGAAATATGAAACAGTACATTACTACAAGGGGAAATAAACTTATTCATGTCTTTTTTTTTTCACATTCTTTGGAAAATTTTTTAAGCATTTGCATTTACTCATTAAAACTAAAAGCACTGATGTCTCGACTATCTGTTTCAGAGGACAGCTACATTCTCTGGTATAAATCTAGGAAAAAGCTAAAACATGTTTAGTTTAGTTTTAGTAAGGTTTTATGGTGCTCACAACTGCATAAGGTCATATGAGCGCCAAGGGGTGGATGTCAACAGAGAAGTCCAAACGAGGAATCAGGCTTTGCTCACCTTTCTAGCCTCAACAGCACAACGTCTGCTTCGTCGACTATCAAGGCACCCCGGAAATAGCAGTTCACAAGAGAGTGACAAACATACAAAAAAAGTAGAAGTAAAATGACGATAGTAAGGATTAGGAACGAAAAAGCAGCAGTTCCCCCTTTGTTGTTCCAGCACAGTATGAGCATGACATTGATAAATCAGCCCATTTACAATTCTACTGTGCATAAGAACATGTTAATATCCCCCATTTGGGAATAGCCTAAAGACAGCTTCAGTCAGTAGCCCTGGTGGGGGGGGGGGGCTAAAACATATACATGAAAAAAATTCTATTACAGAAACCAGCCACTGTACGCGTTATTCAAAAATTCCAGTGGTGTGTTGGAGCTTGTATTGAAAAAATGGTCTACACAAGGAGAATTAAATGGCAAACACTTTTCTTGAGTTTATTTTTAGGAATTCTGTATTTTGTATTAGGTTTGTTCTTCGAAACCTGACTATTTGAGAACAATATGGTTGATTTTAAGAAGTTGCAAAGCTTTGCGTTTCAGTCAATTTTGGTTGACATTTTAAACATTTTATATTTTTCAAACAAACTGATTTTTTTCCTATTGACAAATATAATGTCCTCATGATTGATTTTTATTTCTTCGAAGTTTTATCAAAATTGGTTCAAAGTTCACCGAGAAATTGCCATTTAAGTGGGTCCTCTTGGGTTTTTTTAGACACCCAGTACTTTCTGACAAGCTGATGAAACATTTCCTCATCCTGTTCCTGTAACTGTCAAGTAATAAATAATTACAATAAGAATACAATATAACAATAACAAGCTTGAATACTTTGAGGCACATGGATATCATTATATACATAGTTACTGGAGACTTTGAGCCAGCTGAAGGATGCATGGAATAACGTATGACAATATCGGCCACATCTGTCCGAGACAACCAGCCCTTGTGGAGGAGAAAGTGATCATTGCAGACAGGTTGTCCCCCTGAACAGGACAGGTTGTCCCCCTGGACTGAGTCATTATCATACCGGTACATGGGTACACCTACTAATATACAGAAAAAACTGCCTGGAGGGGAGTGGGAAGCGGATGTCTTGTAGGTGGTTGTCTGGTAAAGGTGGTGGTTTGGTAAGTACATACGTGGGACTACACTCATACATTGACCACAAAAATGTCGTGTTTAACTGAACTGGCGATTTCGAGTTGATAATGACGAAAAAATCCCCCCCCCCCCACCCTTTCCCCCTCCCCTCGCTGACGAAAAGACTGAAGACACCTCAGAGGTAGATGTTATATTACTACGTCTTATGTTGTCATGGAACAAGTTGTCCTTGAGACTCTACATCCATAAATTCTCTCAATATACAGACTGAAAAGGGTATAACGCGTGATCCTTATCATTGCAATATCACCAGCAAATACAGAAGTTTCTACAGTTTCAAAATCAGAATCAACTAAAATATCAAAC